CTGAGCTAAGAGAACATTTAGAACACAGGTTAGCACCCCGGGGAAGCGGAAACCCCTTCCTTCCTTCTTCCCACTGACAAGGAAGGGGCGGGCTTCATGGCAGCCCTACAGAGCCATCTGCCCAGAAGCCCCACATCTATGGCACTTGTTCTGTGTGTCAGGTGCAAGCCAGGGGTTGGTCTGTGATAGATCTCTTAGGAGAGGATTTAGTGATAAAACAATATTATGGAGAACAACATCAATCACAGCAGCCAAGCTTTACTGAGTACTGACGCTGCACTAGGCACTGGGCTGAGTGGGATCCAGGGAGGATTCATTTAATCCTCAGGGCAGCTCAGCCTGCTGCCTAGTGATCTTATCTCTGTTTCACAGGTAAGGAAACAAAGCTCAGAGGCTAAACTGTCTCCTGCCCTGCCACCCCCGGAGCCCAAATTGCACCCAAGTTGCCTGACTCTTAACTCTTGGGCCTCTCTGACTTTTGAAAGAGGATGGCGGCTCAGACGAAGGGAGACAAGTGGAAAGTGAGCAGAACCCCGAGGTCAGCTGTGAATAAATACCAGTGGAATAGCATTTCCCAAGTGTTCAAGGGCCGAGGAAGCACAGACGCGCAAACCAATGTCCCTGTCTATAAGGGCACACACACAAACTTGAACAATGACAAAGATGGACAGCAGAACTCACTGGTACATAAAGGGCCACATCATGCCAGACAGTTAGAGAGCAGGACAGCATAAAGGGAAGCAGACAGAACAGGCAGAAAGGGTGGAAGCGGCTGAGGCAGGGATGGGGTCGCTTGTGGGGTCCATGTGATCTGGGAGGGGCCCCTGGTGCTGTGGGTAGGAAGAGGAGCACCCACGACTCCAGTGCTGGGTGACTGTGTGTGTAGGAGAGGCAGGGGGCTGGCAGCTGATGGTGCTTGTGTCAACGAGGCACCGGGGATGGGTTTATGCAGCAATGCTGGTCCTGCCCCACTGCTCATCCACTGAATCACCCATCCTTTCATTCATTCAATACTTACTTACTGTGCACTGGGGTACAGAGAAATGAATGAGATGATTTCTGCCCTCAAGGAGCTTACGGGCCACTAAGGGAGATAGGCCCGGACACATGAGCTCACAGTCCACTAGGTTGAGTGATAAGTAGGGTGTGGAAAGATCATGTTGCATTGGTGACCCCATAGTGGGGCCCAGTGGATGAACACGCATTCTGGAAGGCAGTCTGGGGCACAGGGGCAACCCAGGTAGAGCCAACAGCAGGAGCGCTGAGATGGTCAGGGCACTGCAGGTGGATGAGTGGAGCAGAGATGAGGGGAAAGTGGGTGGGGAGGCAGCAGAAGGGTGGGATGTAGGGTGCTATGGACTTAACTGTGTACTACCCCATCCACTTGCTGAGGGCCTGGACCCTAGAGGATGTGGGGCCTTCAAGAGGTTATGAGGATTCAATGAGATCACAAGGGTGGGGCCCTTTGGATTGGATTAGTGCCTTTATGAGAAGGGAAAAGACACTAGGAGCTCCAAGCCAGGAAGAGGGCACTTAGGTTGCCAGCATCCTGATCTTGGACTTGCAGCCGGCAGAACTTTGTTATCTTCAAGCCACGTAGCCTGTGGGATTCTGTTACAGAAGCTTGAGCAGATGAAGACACACTGGTAAGACAAATTCATTTTGCAACATACAGAATTGGAGTAACTCGAGCTCCAGTGGTGCAGTCAGTTAATATGCGGTACTTATATAGCACTGGAGCAACTGACCTTCAGGTCAAGAGGCAAGCTGGGGCCAGAGAGGGAGGGTAATGGGTAGGGGAGTTGGACATCATGAACATGCAGCAGGCATCATCCCATGAAATGATGTTGCCTGGCAACAGGGTAGGATTTGGGGAATACCAACAAGCAAAGGCCAAGAAGAGGCAAGAGGCAGTGAGGTAGAGAATGAAACTCAGAGAGGTGAGAAGTGAGGCAAAGGAAAGTGCCAGAAGGGGAAAGCAACAGTGTCAGATGCCAAGAGGCCAAGGAAGGACACTATAAAGCAGCCAATGCCTCTATACCAGGGAGCAAAAGCTATTCTGGAGATGGGAAAGGGTATGGAAGTCAGCCGGCAGTTGCAGTTGCTGTTGGACGATGTACCAAGGAAGGATAAGTTGTTAAAAATTTAAACAACAAATATTTGGACAAGTTTTAACTGTAAGATACCAGCAGAGCCTTCTTTTCCTTTCTGGGGTCTTTGCTGGATTCTCCTGGGGTCTGGGAGCACTACAGGTAGGAACTCAGCCAAGCTTCTGGTGAGTGGAAGACCACCTGTCTTCCAGAAGTTGGCACGTCCAACCTCCCCCCATAAGAACCCTCCCACTGCCCCCACAATGGTGCCAGCACATGGGTCTGGGCCAGTTAGCCTTTCTAAGGAGGCTTGTGACGTCAGGGCTCGAGGAAGTCAAGTCACCTACCCAGTCACAGAGCTAACAAATGATGTGTTAAAAATGTGTGGCTCGAACCCGTGTGTATCAAACACCACTGCTTCCTTCCCATCAAAACAACTGTTTCTTGTCATGTCTTCCAGAAGAGCCATCTCCACTGGCCCTACTGACACACACCTGCACAGGATACGACGGGACACTCTCCAGCTTGGCTTCCCTAAGGACTGCTGCAGGAATGAACCCCTCCCCAACACAGCCCCTGTGTCCGCTCTTTCCTTTCTATGCCCGTCTCACACTAATTCTGGCCTTGGTCATACCCTTCACATTGGCCAATGGAACAATAGGAAATGCAACACAGACACGCAGTACTTGTGCACTGGGCTTTGCTTGTCTTTTCTTGGTCTCTCTGGAATCCTGAACTTCAGACGATGCAGCCCAGGCTGCTCTTAGGATAGTGGAAAGAAGGAGTACAACAGTGCATTAGTCAGCTTTCCTGTTGCTGGACACAACACCTGACACCTGTAACTTGAAGGAAGAGAGGCTTAATTTGTCTTACAGTTTTGGGAGAATCAGTCCATGGTCAGAAACACCATGAAGGAAAGGCATGGTAGAAGAAAGCTGTTCACTTCAAGCCACCTGGAAGCAGAGCAGGGAAACAGTGCCGTACACAGACAGATCCTAAGGGCATTCCTCTGACCCACCCAGACACACCCAGAAGAGTGTTCTACCAATCCTGTGGGTGGAGCCCCAAACCAAACAAGGTGACACCCCATAGACAGGATGGGCCCCTCCAGCCAAACCAGCCTCCCTTCCCAACGAGAACAAGCCAGATAACCCCCTGGATCACGACAAGCAATATCTGCTGTCCTAAGCCATCAATTTCTGGGGTGGCTCATTACTTAGCAAAAGCTAACTACAAGTCCAGAAAGAAGCCCCATACCAGCCTCTCCTCCCAGCTCTGAAGCTGCGTGGGGGAATAATGTTGGATCTCTGGTGTCCACACATTGCTTCAGCAATGGCAGCACCGCCTAGAATATACTCCCTTTGGTCGGGAGGCTCAATGTGCTCCTGAATGGAGGAAGAGGCCTTTCCATACCTTGTCCCTGGGATGCTTGGAGGGGCCCCGCACCCAGCCAGCAGGCAGGCCTACAGATGACAGGTTATCTGGGGATAAGGTGGCAGTAGTGTGCTTCTGCCACACTGTCCTGAGACCACTGATGAGGAAGGAGATCATCTCGCAGGTGAGCTCTGCTGCAAAGGCTTCAAGACACATGTTGTCAAGCAGAGTGGAGCAGCTTTGGGGAGAAGGCAAAATCCAGCCACCTCCAGCCCACTTAGCAAGGAGCTTGCTGCTTCCCTTTCCAGAGAGGCATACAAATGACTGAGTACCCAAGAAAGCCAGCCTGATCAGTGGCGCTTTGATAAGGTGACAAAACTGCTGCCTCTCTAGTCCAAACCCACTCCCTGTGGTGAACTATTATGGGAAGGAAGCATCGACTAATTAGGAGCATCTCCAGGACATGAGAAAAATCAGCTCCTAAAATGCCGGAGCAGAGAGAATTCCTTGTTAGGAAGAGAGAAAACAAAAATGCTAGGGTGACACTTTCCCCAAACATATTTATGCAAGGAGGAGATGAGAATTAATTAGGACAGGAGTTATTTTTGGCTGCTTGTACAGGCCAAGGGCCCCTTCCAGGTGGGGACAGGTCTCCAGTGCTGCCCACCACTTTGAAAAATGACTTTTAGCCTTTGCTAGTTGTAATGAAGCTTGAAATTAAGATAATTCCTTTGTTTGTTCCCCCTGTTTGAGAGGCCCCAGCCACCCATCAATAACATCAACATCTGGATTATTTATTTCTCATTGCTCAACCTACGGGGCATAGAAGAATTTTATGAAGCCAACATGGGAGGCATTTTCTGCCCATGGAGTGTGGCTGTGCCTCCCCACTCTGCAGAACCCATTTATGATCTGGATTTTGACAATCAATACTGCCAGCCAACTCTGAGCAGGGCCAAGATCCCCGAGAGCCAGAGACCCAATTCTTATTACCTTCTGACATTTATCGGCTGCGAGATCTTGGGTAGGTCCCTTAGCCTTGAGGAAATTTGATACAGCAAAGGGATTAGTGATTAATAAAAAACTCTGCTTAAAACCCCCATGCAACATGTAACATATAACAAATGAGTAGATAGTGTTGATAAGTGTAAGTAGGATGCTTGAGAGCAGATAAAACACTAGAGCTTTTCACCTTGCATAACCAGAACTGTGCCCTCTAAGCAGCAGATCTCTCCTTCCCCTGCCCTAGTCAGCCCTCATTCTACTTCCTGTTTCTATGGGATGAGTACTTTAGATGCCTCATATAAGGGAGCCATGCAGCATTTATCCTGAGACGGGCCTGCTTCTCAAGGAGTAAGGCCCTCCAGGGGTACGTTGTAGAAAAGCACCGCACAGTACTCCCTGCCCGCGTGGTGAGTGTTTACACACGTTCACTCCCTCAGTAGTCATGGACACCCTGCTACTACAGTATCACTACATCTGTTACAGATAAGGAAACTGAGGCACAGGGAGGTGAAGCGATGTGCCCAAGCTCACCTGGTACAGAAGTGGCTCCTGATCCATCCTCTTGAATGTGATACTGGGTTGTTTCTGCACAGTTTAAATCTGTATTTCAGGTAAACAGGTGCAAGAGACGATGTTACTGAGGATGACGGCAAAAGACGGGGCAGGGGAGAGGAAGGAGAGGTTTTTCTTTGCATGGTTCCCAGGGGTCTTTCTCATTTTGTGAGGCAGTCTCGATACGTAGTTCAGGCTGGCCCTGAATTTGGGGTGATCCTCCTGCCTCAGTCCTCAGAATGCTGGGATTTACAGACATTTGTCACCATGCTCGGGGGCTCTACGGGGGCTTTGATAGCACAAAGTAGGGAGGGCCTGGAGCCAGAAAGACTTGAGACAAAACAGAACACCTCTGTCTCTTGGAGGATACATTTCAGCAGGGGAGAAAAATGCACAACAAGTGGTCCCAAACATGTGTGAGTGAGGAAGGAGGAAGAGGCAACAGGTCAGGGAAACACCGTGAAGGAGTAGAGGCTGGGAGGCTGGCTGGGGAGCATCCCCGAGAAGACGGACAAGGCGAGGGCAGTCGAGGTAGGAGGGTAGGACAGGTGTGAATGTGGTGGGTGGGGGCTCAGAACAGATGAGGAGGAGTGGGAGGCTGGCGTGGCTGGAGAGGGGCACACAGGAGCCCAAGCAGAGGGCCTCAGGACACAGAAAGATACATGGGTTTGGCAGAGGGGAGACACGATCCGATTCGGTGTCGGGAGTTGCTCGGCTGACAGTGAAGTGAGAGAAGCAGCTGGTTACAGCCCGACCAGAAGACCTTCTGGTGCCCTGGAAGTGGCTGGGGCCAAGGACAGCACACAACGTCTTACCCAGAGCCACTGGAAGAAGGAACTGGCTAGAGCTGACACGGGAATAGCATAGATAGAGCAGCTTCGGGGTACTGTGGGTTGAACTGTCCCCCATTGAGGATTTGTTGAGCTCCTAATGCTAGTTCCTGCAAATATGACCTTCTGTGGAAAGACGGTCTTTGCAGAAGAAACCAAATTAAGATGTGGTCATCAGTATGGAACCCAACCTCCTGAGTTTGACCCCTGGTACCCTCCCCTGCAAAAAAAGAAAATGGACCTCAACCAATGTGACTGGTGTCCTATGACAACAGGAGAACACACACACACACACACACACACACACACACACACACGAGCAGATGACACAGATGACACCGTGACAAAGCAGGCAGGCACTGCAGAGACACGTCTACAGGCAAGGGACATCAAGGATCGTGGTACCACCACCAAAGAGAAAGGCATGGAACAGACCCCGAACCTCCACAGGAGCAAGGCCCTGCTCACACCCTGACTCTGGGCTCCCAGCATCCAGAGCTGTGAGAGAATCAATTTTAGTTATTTTAAGGCACCCATTGTTATGTCAGCCCTAGCAAGTAAATGCAGGGGTGAGGGAGGAATCCAGTTTTCAGTGTGCTAAACGTGGGGGATGTCAAGAAGGCGAGGGACACGTGAGCTCTGAGTTCCGGAAGAGGCTGGAGCTGTTCACAAATGGGAGACAAGTCTGGAGACCGAGCATATGTAAAGCCCCCAGCCTGGATGGGATCAGAAGGGGTAAAAGTAGGCAGGGATGAGAAGGGGGCCAAGGACTGAGCCCAGAGCGCTGAACTTGGAACAGAGACCATGTGTGCAGAAGTAGAAAACAGCCAAGGAACCGGAGGCCCAGGAGCCAGTGGGGGTGGTGGGGAAACAAGAACCAGCATCCTGGGGCTGCATTCCTCCCCGGGCTAGTCCCTGCCTCTGCCTCCTCTCCAGAGGCCATGCACCTGCAGCTCCAGCTGGGTCCCCGAACCTGCCCCTCCTCATTGCCTTCTCATGCTCATCCTGTACCATGGGGCTTGAGGAGAGGCCTGTGTGTCACTGCCTACAGCCAGTCTCCTGGCACAGAACTAGGCACGGAGCAGACTCTGGGCACACGTTTGCAGAAATTGATGCACTCATAAATGAATGGTCAAAAGGGGATTCTTCTGGCAGCTACGTCATAATCTATACTAATACTAAGTTTCGACTCAACTAAAGCATATACCATTTTTTTTAGACAGGGTCTTGCTATGTAATTCAGGCTGGCCTTGAACTCATTATGAAGCCCAGGCTGACCTCAGACTTGTGGCGATCCTCCTGCCTCAGCTTCCTGAGTGCTGGGATTATAGGCATGCACCACCACACCTGGCTCACATGTGTTATTAAAGTAAGGCTTCTTAAGCTCTCTTTCCTCTTGGGACTGTTTAGTGGATTTTTAAGTCTCAAGGGTAGAATGGATGCAATTTTTACCTTGGCACCTGCTATTCCCACTAGTAAGATATTTGGGGTCTTGAGTCTGTCAATCTCTAGTTTTCAGGCTTTGCCTTCTCTGTTTTCCAAGGACTTTCACAAACATGTCATCAATGTTGTCACTGAAGTCACTCACACAACAAAAACAGGACTCTTACAATGTCCCCCAAGGCTGTGCCCTGGTCCAGTAATGATCTACACGTTTGACAGATACGCATCAAGCACCCACTATGTGCATGATTCCAGGTGTGAGTGGTTCATTCGTCTATGTCTGAAGTGAAGGCCCTAAGCTCACTGAGCTGGAGGCAGGGACAGTCCTCCAACCAGTCACGAATCGACGCACCTGTGTGCCTTTATGGGGACACTGTCGTATCCACAGATGCTTGTTCAGAGATCTCTGTCAAAGGCCTTGCTGAAACCAGGGACACTTCATCCTGTTTTCTGACCTACTGCCCAGGACCTCTGGGAAGGGAAAGGGTCTTTACCTGGTGTACACAGTTCTTCGAAAACCCAGTCAGCTCCTGGGGACAGTCACCTTCTCTCCTAGGAGTCACCATCTATCACAGCAGTATTATACTCTAGACTTGCCTCACTTGCAATTTCTAGAATGTATTTTCTCTCATTTTCTGGAAACTAGAAAATCATTTGGCCTCCTTTACGCTTCCAGGACCTCTCCCTTCTGTGGAGTGCAACATGACCAATTTCCTCTCTCAATTTTGTTCTGGTATCCTAGGACATCATTCTCTAGACCCGAAATCGGAACTCAAAATAGCTGAGTGTTTTCTAATCATCTCTCTATCCATCCAGGGCTCGAATTTCCTCTTCCTGGTAGGAGTCCTGCCCTCTGGAGTCTGAGAAGTCTGCTTCTATAAAGACTGGGACCCTCTGGCCCCAGTCTTCCCTTCACCTATTCTACCCTGTATCAGTCAGGGTTTTCCAGGAAGACTGAGCCACTAGAATGTGAGTATATATATAAGGGGGATTTTTTTAGATTGGCTCACACCATCACAGGGCCTGAGAAAGTTCTCACAATGCCCACCTACAGGCTGCAGAGCTGGGGGAGCTGGTAGCTGCTCAGTCCAAGAAGCCGGAAGCCTCACAATGAAAGAGAAAGAGAGGCCAAGGATGCAGCATCAGTCCGAGGCCAAAGGCCCAAAAGCCCCAGGAGGCGCAAGTACAAGTTCAAAGGCTGAAGAAACTGGAGTCTGATGTCCAGGAGCAGCAGCCATAGAAAATGTACTCATTCAGGAAATGAGAGAGAGAGGAGGGCCTCACAATGACCTAAAGACTCCCCTCTATCCCTACCTCCTAAAGTTTCTTCCACTCTCATAGCCCCATCTTTACGACCGAGCTTTTCACACACAGGGCTTCGGGAGATAGTCAACACCAAAGCTATTGCATCCATTTCACCTCGAATTAAAGCTGTCTCTTCTGAGAATGTGTCATCCTGAGGTATCGTTCTAACACAGACCAGCTTCTCAATAGACACACACTGTGCACTTCCGGCTTCCCCGGAGGACTTAGACCCTCCCTGCTCTGCCCGGGGACCTTCCCTGCTTGTCAGGGTCCATTCTCTAACTTCGTGTCTAACCCTCATCTGAGGGAGGGAGAACAACCCTGCTGATGGCCTACCTGAAATTGACTTGGCAATTCAATTTTCCTCTACTAAACTCCTAAAAACTTTATTTTTGCCTTTCTTCCACTTGAGGTTTCAACAATGATCATGGTAGCAAGGATAATGATGACGATGATGCTTACTATTGCAATGTGTCCCCAGAAAGTTCATGTGCTGGAAACACGATGCCCGGATGGATATGTTAATGTATTTAGAGGTGTGACCTTTAGGGAGATAATTACAGTTGGATGAGGTCATAAGTAAGGGAACCCCAAGGTGGCCTCCTCATTGGCTTTATTAGTAAGAGCAAGAGAGACCTGAGCTTGCTGTGTGTGTCCTGACAGGTGACAGCCCACTATGTCACAGGGGAACAGAAAAGCTCTCTACCAGACGCTGAGTAGATGCCAGTACTGTTCTCTTGGACTTTTCAGCCTCCAGAACTGTGAGCTAAGTGAATCTTTTCTTTATAAATCCCGGGTCCTAAGCATTTTGTTACAGAACAGAAATGGGACTAACACTGCTGGAGAAGAAGGTGTTAAGGAGAAAGGAAATTCCTGTATCAAGTCACTGTTTTTTCAATCTGGCAGTTTTTTCAGCCTCATACATGGGAAAATTGAAATTTAGGATGCCCATTGACATTGGAATAGTACTGAATTATATTTACATATGCTTTTATGTTATTAATAAGTATTTTATTATTTGACCTTCAAGTGTTTCTTGTCATTGTTTCTGTTTTCTCTGTGCTTCTCAATTGCTCCCTTGTTTCAGGGACTCATTGACTCAAAACTTAGAAATCCTTTAAAATACATATGTAGGAGATTTTAAAAAATTCAGAAAGTATAAAAAGAGGACAGAAGGGCCAGAAAGGGGACTGGCAGACTTGTAGATTACTGAGATAGTTTAAAAGATAGTATTTTAATGTGTCTCTCACTTCCTCGTGGCTAGACAGACATTCAGAAAAGATACAGAAAGTTTGATGTAAAAATAAATTCTTCTTTAAATAAGAAGTGAATGTTCTGAACAGCTTCTTCCTGGGGCTTTGTATTTATTACTCTATTTCCCAGAAATTGCCAGTGGAGAACAATCAGTTCACAGGCTTCTTACAAAAGATCATTTGCTGGGAACATATAAGGAAAAGACTTGCTGCTTTA